TTATTTTATGTTGGGCGGGGCCCGTTTTACCGAGCTCAGCTCGATGCTGGGCAGGGCCCGATGCCGGGAGGGGCCCGATATCGGACGGGGTTCGAAGCGGGGCGGGGCCCACTATATGTTTATTATATGTTTGGTATGTGGTATTTTGGGGGAACTTACTAAGGTTTGTGCTTACGGTTTTTAGTTTATGTTTCAGGTACTTCTGGTTCCAAGGGGAAGAGCTCGGGATGACTACATCGCACACACCACTGGGATTCCGCACATGATGTTTTACTCTGATTTTATGACAATTGATACATTGGTTTTTATTTGAGATGATTGAATGATATTGGAATTACTATTTTATCTATTATTAAAAACAAAATTTTTTGGGACCATATTTTTGGATGTTATAGTATCATTAAACCAAACACTAGAAACTGTACCTAATTATGTAATATTATAGTTGTGGTAAGACCATGTGTCAAACACAAATGAAACGGATATGATTCAGATCAGATAAATTCAACTACTAATTAAACTATAAATAGAAAAGTAACAAAAGGGATGCGTTTAAATTAATTAAGTTGGACTGGAAACGAAACTAAATTGGAAATTAGATCTAAAGACAAGAAATATAAAGATGTTTTTACATAGATTCGTTTATCTCTTTCAGTTATGGTGGATTCCAATGAAGTGCAATAAATATTATTAATTATTCACCGATTTCAAATTAGTTAGTTCTCTTGGTTCGCCTAACTATCTTTAAAATCATTAAGATAATTAACACAATGGTCATGCAATTAAATATTTAAACAACTATTATTAAGTTCGTATCATGAAAATTTTGATTGGGTGACTGATCCCAATTGTCATGGTAATCAATTTGGTGTATAGATTGGTTGTTTAATGCAATCATACACATTAAAGTTAATTACTCTATTAACCATACCCTAGGATTTGGTCAATCTCTACTCACAATTGTCAATGGTCATTAACAATTATAATTCAAGCCAACAAATTAAGATTGGTCCTAAACTCAATTAAATCAACAATAGGTAACAAAGATATCAAGAAGAACACATATGAATCTTTAATCAAACAAACATGATAAATTAAATAAAACTAAAAATCCAATTAAAGGAATCACACCAAGTCTTTAAGGTTTCATATACTCTAGTGAAAGCAAAAGGGTTTTAACCCATAACCAATAAATAAGAACATAAAACCATCAAAATTGAATGGCTAAACATGATCATAAAGCAACCCAAACGGAAATCATAATGCTCCTAGCTTATAATTCTTCAAATCATTGCTCCAAAGTGCTTCTTCAGCCTTGAATTCGCCCTAAAAGGGTTTTTGGACGTTAAAACCGACTTCTGATTTCGTTGTGTCTATCTTTAGGGTTAAGCTCGTTCCCTTTTAAATATTCATAAAACCGCACCAAACGCATCGTGTTCCAGCTGGGACATGTGGCATACTAGAATATTATGCATTCTAGTCGATTTCCTCAGCTCAGACGTGTCGCGTAAGTGATGCCGACGCGTCGCCTTTACTGGTATTTATTATTATTCAATTTGTGGTCTTTATCAGCTCCATATCTTTTCTTATTATTCTTATCTACGAGTTTATCTATAAAACAATAATTTTTACAATAATAAGTATCATTTAGCTTAATATATATTGAATCAAAACATATTTTCTTTATATATAGATATATATATATATATATATATAATATATATATATATGTATATATATATATATATATTATATATATATATATATATATATATATATATATATATAACACTCTAAATTTTCAAACAAAATTTTCATTTTTAAAACCTCATAAAACACAATCTCATATTTATCAAAACCCAAATGTATAAGTTGTTCAAAACACAAGACAACAAAATGTTTGATAATGTCCCAGAATCCTCAAAACATAATCTCAAGCTGGTGTGTACAATCAAGTCGTCGCCTTCCCGCGATCCTGAGAGGTACCTGAAACACATTTCACAAAACACTGTAAGCACGAAGCTTAGTGAGTTCCCCAAAATACCATGCACAAATAATTAGCCTCTCATGGTTATATCTCGATAAGGACCCTCCGGTCTCACAGCTCGGGTCGGAACCTCCAGTCTGATATCTCAGTGAAGACCCTCCGGTCTCACAACTCGGTTTGGACCCTTCGGTCCTAACTCAATAATGCACATAAATAATATACAACATAAATCACAAAGACAGAATGCATGATATTACATAACTCAGAATAAGCACATAAGACCCTCCGGTCAGTAACTCAAATAGGACCCTCCGGTCAATAACTCAAATAAGACCCTCCGGTCACACAATATTACCACTCAGGTAAGTATAGTGAGAAGACTCACTTCGTACGTAAGCAAGTAGGCCTTGTACTCAACGATCGGTCTAGACTCCGCCTACATATCATAATCATCTCTAATTAACACTTTATAACAACAACTCTAAAGATGTTAAGCTAACCCCTTTTTCTAACTCTCGGAAAGGGTGAAGACCATTTTACCCCTCTATGGTCTCCATAATCCATAACTTGACCAAACCCTAAAAGTCAACGGAAGTCAACACTCGAGTCAACAGTCCATGTTGACCCAACTCGTCAAGTGCATCTATGCGACTCGTCGAGTTCCTCCTGTTCTCAGAAAAATATCGGGAAAGTTCAACTCAACTCGCCGAGTTGTCTCACCAACTCGCTGAGTTCATAACGCGTCCAGACTATCGGGGAAAAACCTGAACCAGCTCGTCGAGTTGGCTCACCAACTCGTCGACTCCCTTCAGTCCATTCTCTCATTCAGACGTTTTTAAGCAAAACTAAGGCCCCATACTCTAGATTTAGCCTCCCAAGGCTGAAATAACACGTAAAGATGCAAACTTTACGTTCATGCATGACATCTAGGGCTAAGTTTGCCAACCCAAAGCTCAATAGAGGGTTTAAGGCATGAAAGTTGGCCAAAGCTTGATAAAACTTGAATCTTTTGGCCTAATGGACCTCACATTGTCCAGATATGAAGTCTCATCTTCAAGGCATGCTCAAACAACTAAAGGACTCAAAGAGAAGATGGAAATGGCCATAAACTCCCTAGTGAAGAGATCTAACAAACAAATGGTCAAGGTGATACCTTTTTTACCTCCAAATGGCAGCTAACACTGAAACAATATCGGATCCAAGGGCTCCTTCAAGTTCCAAGCCATTTGCTCCTCAAACTCCTTCCAAGAATTCACTAAAACGCACACTTTTAGTCTTTCTCTCTCTCTCTCTCTCTCTCTCTCTCTCTCTCACAGATGATAATAGCTCGATTAGGGTTTCTCTCAGCGTGTTAAGGTGGTGAGGGGGGCGGGGTAAAGGACTTAAGGTCCTTTAAATAGGGTGCAAACCCTGAAAATTAGGGTTTTCACACTCATCTCCTACTCGTCGAGTCGGGTCCCCCCAACTCGTCAAGTAGACTCTAAAAATCGTGCGGCCATCTCAATCTCTACTCGGGGAGTTGGGGCCTCCAACTCGTCGAGTTACCCTGACAATATGAATATAATTTAATTAAATATTATACCTGGGAGAGAGAGAGAGAGAGAGAGAGAGAGAGAGAGAGAGAGAGAGAGAGAGAGATAGATAGGTAGGTAAGTAATATAGATAATACTTGAAAGGTTGAGAATGCAAAAACGAATCAAAACCATCACAATATCAAGATCAATGGTTAAAAAAATAGTTCCATATATTTCAATCGAGTAAAGTAATGTCCTAAAAATGAAAATTGATAATATACGTTACATTGAGTGAAGGATATATGGTTGATTACAATTATGGGATAATTTCCTATTATTTAGCTATAACCGATGTCCCATTCTTTTCTCTCTTTCTCTTCCGCATCTAAAAAGAAAAGGAAAAATCAAACCTACTTCTTCATCATCTTAATTCACACACAACGAGTCTACAACCCTACCACCACACCTACATAACCGAGCCGTCGTAAACCAGTGAGATCACAACTGCGATCAGTCGATGCAACCACCACAAGCCTATACTTACGATCATCATCGAGAATCACCCTTCATCTTCTCCACACTCTCCGCCAAACACCACCACTGGATTACCCTTCATATCTGTATCGATTCAAATAGTGGGAAGAAAGATGGGCTTCTTTTGGAGTTGACTTGCGATTTAGATTCAAATGGGGGAAGAAGGTGGGTTTCCACCAGAACTTTAATCATCACCAAAACATGCATAAATCATAATCAAGTATAGAGAGAGACACTAAGAGAGGAAAATCAGAATCTAATGACTTTGATTTACAGAAAAAAAAATGGGGCAGAGAAGGGCCTTTGGTCGGTATGTCGCCATTCATACCCGTGTCGATTCAAATGGGGGAAGAAGGTGGGTTTCCACCTGAACTTCAATCATCATTACCACTTGTGCAATCAGAATGAAAATAGAGGAAAAGAAGGTTTTAAACCTTTGCTACTAATTTCGATATACAAAGAAAAAGAGAAGAGAAAGACCTTTGTTTGGTCTGTATTCACACGTAGGTAACCCACACAAAAATTGAGCACAAAATTAATACAAGGTTGATTTAAGAATTGAGGTAAAATACATGGGTTTTTCTAGGGTTTTTCCTATTTTTTAACCTAACTTTTAAACTTTTTATTGTTTTCTTTAATTTCATTTAGTTTTCTATTTAGGTTTTTCTTTTTTAGAAAATGATGCCTTTGATTTTATTATGTATATTTTTGTTATGCGTAAGAAAGCCAAAATAAAATGGTATCTATTTCATTTTTTATTTTCATTTTTTATGCATTTTCATTGATTTATTTACCTTTATGAGTGTATATCTTTACCATATTATAAAACATATTACACATTTCTTGAAAATCAAGAGGTACAAATGTTACTACATCTTATACAACCCTTTTAAGGTTAAAGATCCCATCCAAGTTGGATTGTAACGTCTCCATTGTATTGTAACCTCTCCATTATAAAAAGCAAAAAGTAAAATACGACTCCTCATCTTGAAGCCCTCTTAAACCCTAGATGTCCTCCGCCTACTTCCCCAGCAACAAACTACCACCACAAACGGGTGTTCTCTGTTTCTTTCTCCACCACCACCACCTACTCTACGCCCTCGCACCACCAACAGCTAGCTCCAGTCAGCCACCATCTTCAATTGTTGCTACCATCCATGCCTCCTCTACAACCTATAAGAGGGTCATCAGACATCCCTTCCCCCAGCAACCCTCACGTGCTCACCCAAATGTTCTCCCTTCATTATCGAGGCGCTGGAATTGCATTTCTACCTCCACCGGTGTCCGCTACCCACTCTGTTGCTCCGCCTCCCCTATGTCTGATAATGTTACCCTCACCCTCTGTTCCGAACTCTGCCATCTCCTATCTCTCATATATCGTTGGTAACCATAAAAAACAACTCTCCTGGTAACCTGATTAGGTAATTACATCATACAGGTGTTTGTTATTGCTCAAAGGGAATGTTTGGATTCTTTCTTTTTTCACAGGTATAAAGTCATAATTTTGTAACGTAATTAGGTAATTACATCACTCTTTTTCACTTATTTTCAGTAATATATTTTCAACTAATTGGTACGTTGTATTACAGAACTTTGTTTTCAGCTATGTTGCTCTACATAAGCTTGGAATTACATAACCAATCCCCTACTCTTCCTTCTCCAACACCGACCGCTACCAAGTCATACATGAGCCATGTTGAATATCAAATTCCCTGAAGGTCCATTTGTTGGTTTTGGTGAGGTTATTGTTATTTTCCTATAAGTTTCCCTTACATTCATTCTTTCTATGATTTCTTTAAATATGACAGGTGTAGCTGATCATTTTGAAGGAGTTGAATGACATTATGAAAATATGATATATATCATCTATGTGAGAACATATGATTTTGTGCTTCTTGAAAAGAAAGGTATATTAGTGTATGTTCTGTACAGTTTGATCTTTTTAAAAACGTAGTTAACATTATAAATCCATTATGCAGGCAATGAAGAAACAAAAGTTGACGGACACTATTTTAACAGGATTCCCAACTCTCTTTAACCTAAAAGTTTTGCAAGTTTTAAGAATTTGTAAAATAAATGTTTAATTGCTAATTTATTTCATTTCTATAAATGTCACACATGTTTAATTGTAAATTAATTTGAAATCTGCCACACAAGGAAATAGGTTGGTTCTTAATGGCATTCTTGAGCTGATTTGGAGAGATAATTGTCCATATGGGACATGATAGGACATCCTCCTCTTTGTTCCATAAAGTTATACTTAGTTACTTATGGAACCTATTCGATGTTTTTTCAGTTTATATGTTCACTGTAGTGTCATGACATCGTGATTTGATGACTCTATTTTAGTTTGATAAACTTCGATTATTCCTCTTCTTCAACATCATCAGCATCATCGATGTCTATTTGTATCATTGTATGTACCTCTGCTTTTTTTTTTTTTTTTATAAAAATCAATTTTCTTTTTGATTAATCTTGCATCTTCATTACACTATCATTGTTTACATATTACAACATCCTGATTTAATTCTCTAACCTATTATAGCATCTTGATTTTCCACCATCAAGACGCTTATCATAAAGCAAACAGGTACATTTTCCTTCTTCAGTATTTTCTATATATTACTGAAATTGCATTGGTTCACATAATGGTGAAATTTGCATTGATAATGTAGATCAAGTTTATCATGCTTTACTAATTCAAGCCACACAAACATTTTATTCTTGGTGATAATTATAAAAAGGCTTCAAACTGTTCAAGGTACCTAAATTGTAGCAACTTTGATTTTATTTCGATTTGGATGTAATTGTTTAGTCTTGTTTTTTTTCTTTTCATTTAATTTGTTTGTTTGGCGTTTCTCTAGATACCGCTTGAGGATTAGTATTTCACACTCTATGTCGGCTACCAAGGATTCTATCAACTCTTGGAAAGCTCATGACGGTTATTGCAGACACCGTTTACGAAAGGGACCGAACACGTTTACTTGCTAAAGTAATGAAAGCGTGTTTCGAAAGGTTCTTATTGGTTGTACCTTTTGGCGGTTGATTGAAGATGATTTTAAGTAGATTAATTTTTTTTCAAATGGTGATGGGTACTTGCTACTTCCCAGTTAGCCGAACAATATCGAGTAGCGAGTAAACGTGTTCATACTTATTTTTACAAATTACATTATGTTCTAGCATTAGACAAATGCAAAATAAATTGTATACCTATTTATATAGACATAAGTTTTAATATCCACCGTTTGCTCCCTAATAGTTCATTTTCTAGATATTTAATTATTGAAAGATATTTTTGGAAAGAATTTACAAGCGCGATTTCTTGAAGGAATTTAGATTTTCTTTGATGGTAAATGATATTAGATATGGCATGCTTTCTAATTTTATTTTTATTTTTATAGGAAGTAATACTTGCCGCCCGACGACCGAAAGATATTATTTGCGAAAAAAAGCAAAAAACAAAAAACAAAATAAAAAAATTATTCACCCCCCTCCCTAATCGAACCCCGCTGCATTGCGCGGCTATATATATATATATATATATATATATATATATATATATATATATATATATATATATATATACACTAGGCGACTCCCGCGTTGCGCGAAAATAGAATTATATAGTTAAAATAATAACTTTTACCAAATTATTATTTAATATTTCTACTTTGAAACAAAATGTTAGTAGTAAAGCAAACATATAGTTAACATATTAGTTTTATTAAACATTATAGTTTAATTTTTAAGTGATTGTGATATATACAATTATTTGATAATTTTATAAACCGTTTAAAATTGTGTAAATTATATATCAAATGAATGATAATATAACGGGTAACAAAACGTATGAACAAAAATAGGAACTTCAAGAAAAAATGCTAGCTTATTATATATATATATATATATATATATATATATATATATATATATATATATATATATATATACCCTAGAACTTGAAGTCATTGCATTCAAACTTGTCGATCTTAATTTTCCCATCTTCAGCCACAACTTTGATATCATTTGTTGGCTTTTTAAGGACTTCATGAACTTGATATACAATTTCACACATAGTAATAATGAAAACAAAAACAAAGTCATAGCACGACCAAGATGATCAAGTCCACGGCGAAACCCAAACAAGATTTGATTATTGTTGCGTAAAAGGCTTTAGTACGATCCATTAGTTTACACAAATTCAGGGAATATATATACTAGTTGCTTTGATTAAAACTGTCAATAAAGCCAAGCCTGAAAGTCTGACTCATATAGGCCACTAACCGTGTGAATTAAACTTGCACTCCAAGAAAAGTAAGTCAACTTTTTTCAAAAGAGACAGTCTGACAATATTGTGGATTGTGCCCTGCTACTTGAGCGTTGCTGGATGCTTTCTGCTTAAGCCCTAGTGAGTAGTGACTGCTTGCTACTTAAGTACTATTGGCTGCTTATCACTAATACAACTTACTAATTAAGTAGTGATGAGTGTTTGAGCATTGTTACCTGCACTGATAATTGTTGGTTGCTTAAGCATTGCCGACTATTTCAACATTATTGATTGCTTGCTACTTAAGTAGTATTGATAATAAATCAGTCTACAAACTTATATATATATATATATATATATATATATATATATATATATATATATATATATATATATATATATATATATATATATATAAACACACACACTATTATCTTATCAAATGAAAACAGTTACATAATACGTCAAATCAAATATTATTTGCATAAGAGCGAGAATAGTCAATGTATTATTCTCAGATGTTCGTATAGATATCCCTTTGATTTGATTAAAATACAAACCCCTCTCGATTTAACTTAAATAAACCTATTTTGATTTGATTTTTGTTAACAGTTTTGACATTTTTTATTTTTTTTCCATGTCTATATAATCTTTTGCTTTATTATTTTTTAATTATTATTATTATTATTATTAATTAAGTCATTTTATTTTTAATTATTTGTGTTTTAGAAAATACTTTTTATATATTGTTTTATCTTTATTTTTACGAATGATGGTACTCTATATATTGTTTAATAAATAAAATTATGACTATTCATATGTATAGTTAAGACTATCCATGTTTTTTTCGGTTCACACCATCCATGTGTTATTTTTCGTTCCAATTATTCTTATGTTATTTTTTTTGTCCAAACTACCCATGCGTTATTTTTTTCGTTCATACTATTATTGAGTTTGTTTTTTTTATTCAGATTATCTCTATGTTATTTTTTCGTTGGGATTATCCTTATGTTATTTTTTTTCGGACGAGCCATGCGTTATTTTTTTGCTCGGACTATCATCGTTTAATTTTTTCGTCCCGGCTATCCATGTGTTATTTTTTTGTTCCAGTTATCCATATGTTATTTTTTGTTTTGACTAACCATGTACTATTTTTTTCATTCAAAATGACCATGTTTTTTTAAGAAAATTTTACAAACAATTATATGTATCTTTGTGTGGGGGTTTTGTTTAACGGCTACGAAAATTGCAACAAAATAATAACTTCAGATATTTCGAACGAAGAAAATAACACAATGATAGTTTGAACGAAAAAATAACACGCATATAGTCCGAATAAAAAAATAATACAATGATAGTCTAAAAGAAAAAAAAATAACATTGGGATAGTCAGAACGAAAAGATATCACAATAATAGTTCGAACGAAAAACTTACATATAGATAGTTTGAACGGAAAAATAATACAACAATAGTTTAAACGAAAACAAATAGCACACCGATAGTCGAAACAAAAAAAACACAAACATAATCGGAATGGAAAAATAACACATAGATAGTCCAAACGAAATAAAAATCATGAGGATTATCTTACCGGAAAAAACAAAGCAATGATAGTTGGAACAAAAAAAATAACACAATGATAGCCGAAACGACAAATTAACACAAAAAATAACATATGAATAGTCCTAACGAAAAAATAACATAAATATAATCGGAACGAAAAAATAACAAAATAATAGTCTGTACGAAAAAAATAACACATAGATAATCTGATAGAAAAAAACATGGAGATAATCCGTACTAAAGAATAATACATGGATAGTTCGAATGAAAAAATAACAAAGGGTTAGCCGGAACGAAAAAATAACAGAAAAACATTTCGTACGAAAAAATAACACATGAATAGTTCGAACAAAAAAAATAAAATGAAATAAATTGACCGGAAAAAAACAATGCAAAGATAGTCGGAACACAAAAAATAACTTGAAGATAGTTCGAACAAAAAAAATAATACTTAAATAATCTGAATGATAAAAAAAATAACACAATAATAGTCCGAATAAAAAAAATAACACAAAAATAGTTCAACGAACAAAAAATATATATTTTAGTATTAATAATAATAATATGTATTTATTAATAGTATTAAAAACAAAAAAAAAAATCTAAATAACTAAATAACAAAACATCAAGTCATGTATGACATGTCATGGTGTCACATCATCTTTTTGGTATCCACCTCTCACTTCTAAGTGATTTTCGCCACACGACATAAAAGACATGTCATTTTCAAGGACGAGTGAGCGTCGAAAAAAAAACTAAAAGAAAAAAAAATATCATTTACAGTCACACTCTCTTATCTCACCTCCGCTACACAATGCCGTTTGATCACTACTCACCCTGCATGCCACCATTAGGGGGTGGTATATGCCGAAAATGCCACCACCTAATTACCGAACGCATTCGTGCCATACCCTCAAGACTTATAAGACCTGATAAAAATCTGAAAATTACCATATGACCGTTTATATAAATCTAAATATCATATAATCCTACCAAATACTAACTGGGGATTTATGGAGATCTTTAAAAGAGCATGTGAAAACCATTGTATTACAAAAAAACGAAAAACAAAGATAAAAAAAAAAAAAAAAAAAAAAAAAAAAAACGAAAAGAAAAAACTAGAAAAACCAGAAAATCCGTAAAGAAAATACGTAATCAACAAATTGATAAAAATTCATAAGGCTAAGTACAACAAATACAATATATCTACATTTTACTAAATTTCTAAACCTATTTAAATTTAAAGACGAGTTTACTTATTTACGTAACTAACCTTTCTTCAGTCGTTTACGATATATATTTAAAATACAAAAATACATGACATGCAAAAGGCATTGTTGGATCACATGAAATCCACTTTTGTGGTGTGTGGTATAAAAGAAAGTAACAGGCTGGTGACCGTTCTTCCTCCAACCTAATAAATTTAATGAAGTTCGGAGAATAAAAGGAAAATAATCCGCTGTCCACAGAGGTTGGAGGGTGACGTCTTTTTCTCCTTCACAAGCTTTCCATGATACGGCATTAAAGAGATCCTTCTTGCAATCAAATTTCACATGCATTCCCCCTCCTCCTTCATATTATATATATATTCTTTCACCAAATGAAATTGGTCATTTAGAGAGAACATGTATGCCGTGATTTTTTGTAACTCTAGGTTCCCAAAAGAAATCACTCAGAACATTTTTCTTTTTCAAACAATGCAAGATTTTATTAAAAGGAAATATTAGGGAACTAGGTCCTAGAAATAATACAATAAATTAAAATTGATTCTTTTAGGAGATTCAAGCAAGGGCTTATAAACTTATTTGGTATTTAGGGTGGAGGGAGTCTATCATTCTCAGCCTATATGGCACACGCCACATCAACTTTTCTCTTTCTCTCTCATATTCAATCATCTCAATCCACGACACATGAAGATAAGAGAAAAGAAAGTGGAGCAACGGGCTATGAAACTAACTTAACCCTTACGGCATCCACAATGTATTAAACTCTATATAGTTCAATGGATTGTTACATTATTTATCTACATTTCATAAAACACTTTCAATTTTTTCCTACAATGCACTGAACTTTACAAAGTTCAATAAAACATTGCAAAAGCTATTTTACAGTGTTTATTTAAGATTTAATAAAACTTCTTTTTTTCTCATTGAAGAGTTCAGTAATCATTGAACTCCAAATTCATCGAATGTTAATGTGGAATCTCATAATGGTAGAGTTTACTCAATTGAATGACAATTAGAATTGTCACCTTATTCAACTCTACCGTTGA